AAAAATCCCAAAAAGATCCCAAAAAATCCCCTAAAAATCTCAAAAAAATCCCAAAAAATCCCGAAAAAATCTCAAAAAAATCCCAAAAAAATCCCAAAAAAATCCCGAAAAAATCTCAAAAAAACCCCCAAAAAAACCCCCAAAAACTAGAAAAAATCTCAAAAAAATCCCAAAAAAAACCCAAAAAAATCCCCAAAAAATGCCAAAAAAATCCCCAAAAAAATCCTAAAAAAATCCCCAAAAAATCCCAAAAAATCCCAAAAAAATCCGAAAAAAACCCCAAAAAAACCCCAAAAAAATCCCAAAAAAATCCCCAAAAAATTCCAAAAAAACCCCAAAAAATCCCAAAAAATCCCCAAAAAACCCCAAAAAAATCCCAAAAAACCCCAAAAAAATCCCCATTTCTCCCCAAAAAAATCCCCATTTCTCCCCAAAAATCCCCATTTCTCCCCATAAATCCCCATTTCTCCCCATAAATCCCCATTTCTCCCCAAAATTCCGCATTTCTCCCCATAAACCCCCATTTCTCCCGGACCCCCCCTGTCCCCCCGGAGCCCTTTCCCGCTGACCTGGCCGCAGCGGCTGCTCCGCTCTCCTGCCGGGCAGCTCGGCGGGGTTGGGCTCCCAGTCGCGCTCGCGGTTCCCGCAGCAGCCGCAGCAGCCGCTCCCCGCCAGGCGGCGCCAGCGCGAGCGGCGCGCGGGAAACCCCGCGGGGGGCGGGGCCGGGGGCGCCCCCTCCAGGCGGACGGAGGAAAAACGGCCCCGGTCCCGGCGGGGGTCGGGCATGGCCTGCAACGGACCAGTATGGACCAGTATGGACCAGTATGGACCAGTATGGACCAGTACGGACCAGTATGGACCAGTATGGACCGGTATGGACCAGTATGGACCGGTATGGACCGGTATGGACCAGTATGGACCAGTATGGACCAGTATAAACCAGCATGAACCAGTATAAACCAGCATAAACCGGAATAAACCAGTATAAACCCGTATGCACCAGTATAAACCAGTATGAACCAGTAACCCCTGCTGGCCTCCCAGTGCAAACCAGTAACCCCTTCCAGGCTCCCAGTATGAACCAGTAACCCCTCCCAGGCTCCCAGTATAGACCAGTTTCATCCCAGTATAGACCAGTTTCATCCCAGTATGAACCAGTAACTGCTCCCAGTGCTCCCAGTATGAACCAGTAACCCCTTCCAGGCTCCCAGTATAGACCAGTTGTGTCCCAGTAGGAACCAGTAACTGCTCCCAGTGCTCCCAGTATGAACCAGCCCTTCCCAGTATGAACCAGTAACTGCTCTCAGTGCTCCCAGTATAGACCAGTTGTCTCCCAGTATGAACCAGTAACTACTCCCAGTGCTCCCAGTACAAACCAGTAACCCCTTCCGGGCTCCCAGTATAGACCAGTTGTGGCCCAGTATGAACCAGTAACCCCTCCCAGTGCTCCCAGTATGAACCAGTAACCCCTCCCAGTGCTCCCAGTATGAACCAGTCCTTACCAGTATAAACCAGTAACTGCTCCCAGTGCTCCCAGTATGAACCAGCTGTGTCCCAGTACAAACCAGTAACCCCTGCTGGGCTCCCAGTATAGACCAGTTTCATCCCAGTATGAACCAGTAACCCCTGTTGGCCTCCCAGTGCTCCCAGTATGAACCAGCCCTTCCCAGTATGAACCAGTAACCCCTCCCAGTGTTCCCAGTACAAACCAGTAACCCCTTCCAGGCTCCCAGTATAGACCAGTTGTGTCCCAGTATGAACCAGTAACTGCTCCCAGTGCTCCCAGTATGAACCAGCCCTTCCCAGTATGAACCAGTAACCCCTCCCAGTGCTCCCAGTATGAACCAGTAACCCCTCCCAGGCTCCCAGTATAGACCAGTTTCATCCCAGTATAGACCAGTTTCATCCCAGTATGAACCAGTAACTGCTCCCAGTGCTCCCAGTATGAACCAGCCCTTCCCAGTATGAACCAGTAACTGCTCCCAGTGCTCCCAGTATGAACCAGTAACCCCTTCCAGGCTCCCAGTATGAACCAGTAACCCCTCCCAGGCTCCCAGTATAGACCAGTTTCATCCCAGTATGAACCAGTAACCCCTCCTGGGCTCCCAGTATAGACCAGTTTCATCCCAGTATGACCAGTAACCCCTCCTGGGCTCCCAGTCCCAACCCGGAAGGTGCTCCCAGTGCTCCCAGTTCCCTCCCAGTCCCTCCCAGTCCCTCCCAGTCCCTCCCAGTCCCTCCCAGTCCCCC